GCATTAATTGGGCTTTGTACTGGGTCTTTGTATTGCTGTAAAATACACTGGGTCAGTTTATAAAATCACGCAAAAATATGGAAAGACTTTGTATGAGGACTAGAAAACTTCAACTTGGACATTTTTGTGAAGGGGCTAAAGTTACTGACAGAGAAATGTTAACCTGAGAAAACACACAGGGTCATGCAAAATGAGCCTAGGTTCTAAACTCCAAACTGATGAGATCTGGGAAGAAGGCCTTGTGAAGATTGTTGAGCACTGGAGATGTCAGAGAAGAATGGTATCCATCAACTACTTAGACCCATGAAATGCCAAAAGTGAAGCCAGGAAATCCAAACTGTTTTGTCAATGAAGATTTATGGATCTTGGTTTCTGGGAACAGAACTCAAAACTGTATGCAGTTAGAAATATGAACCCAGAAAACATGTTTTCACTTTGGAGTATTAAAGAGTCAACTCATGTTCTTCATGGATCATCACTTCTTCCAATGAAATGAGAGTTCTATCCTGTTTGAGACACAGCACCTTGTCAAAAAGCAAATACGTAACTGAGCCATTCATCAGAATTGAACAGAAAAACTAAAATGCCTTCAGCAAACTGCTTCCCCTGCTGAAAATACTTGAGTGAGACACTGAGACTCTTAGTCAGCTGGATGCTGTAGGCTTCCCTGGCAGGTATCAAATAAAGACTCATAAGACAAGCTCCTTGGAGCTCTCTCTTAAGCCTCTCAGAAGATCAACATGATGCCAAAATAAAACAAGAGTACAACTGAAACAGCATCTTATACATGGCTTTCTGGCCAGAGTTTCACCCTCACTGGCTCTTTCTCCTCCCCTCCACACCTGAGGGGACCACAAGGGCCATCACCACCAGGAGCAACACCAACAGAAGCTTGGCCAGAGCATCTTTAAAAGCCCTCTTCCTCTTCTGTGACAGTGCAGGTATGTTTGTGGTCTCTAATTCATTTATGATGCTTAGGTTCCCTCTCTTCAGTAGGATTAAAAGGATCAGCCCCAAAGCCCAGGTTTGAGGCATACAATTATTTCCTAATGCAGAACTTTAAAAAATCATGTATATATTTTCTTCATCTTTCACTTGCCTTTACCTCTCCGTTATGTCTTAACTTGCGGTTAATGCCAGGCCCTAAAAGTGTTGAGCCCATGTACCACCAATGAAGTTTTAATACCCCTTCCAGAAGAGAGAATCTCCCAACTTTTGTATTTCCTTTAACAAAAAGCACCTTTATAATAATACTGGAATGCTAGATTTTTTTTAAGTGATTTGTCATCGGACCTTTCAATTTGATGGAGCCAGGTGTGAGGCAGGTGGTCACTTCACACTGTGAAACACCACTTGGAATAGACCTGGCTGTAATTGAAGGACTTACACCATGGCAAGCCTCTTCTTTCCAATGGTCACATAGATTCTTTCTCAGGAGAATGAATTTGTGCTTGTATGCAGCACTGGATGCCTCTGCTCTGTGGTACTGATTGGAACCAGCACAGTACCTACTGCGGTGTCTGTAGAACAATTCATGGTTTGCTAATGTCTGGGCTTACCAGCCCTGAATCTCTGTTCAGGGGTTTCAAGTTAAAGAATATCTGTAGACTGTTTGGTTCATTCCAATTTTTCAGGTCCCTTCCCCAACCACCCATTTTTGTTTTTTGTTTGTTTGGGGGGTTTTTTTGAGGGGGGTGGATTTTTTTTGACTAATCAATGATGGGACCGGAGATTTGTAATAACCTGCCATCCCTGAAAGACTGAGCCTGTTTCCTGGGCTTGGGAACAGGCCAGTTCTTAAGAACTTCCAACTTTGCAGGCTCTTGCTTGATGCATCTGCTTTCTGCCTCCACTTTACCCTCCTCCATTGTTACTTACAAAGTACTGTCTGAAAGTGCTATTTTTATGGCTAACAAAAGGGACAGATCTCATTTTACACACGTCCCCAATATAATTCAGAACGGACTGACCAGCTGCTAAAAAGTCGCTGGAAGCCATTGGGGTGTTAAATGCTGATTTTAGAGCCAGTCTTCAGCGACTGCTCATTTCTGACTCTCGAGCCCTTTCAAAGATTCTGAGATAGGAATCAATATGCCACCAGCAGCATCTCCTTCCGCTGGGGGAACAGTTTAGTCTTTGTGCTCCTTATAGACTCAGCATTCCAAATTCTCCCATCGCTTACTAAGTTACCAGGTATCTGGTTACTCAGTCTCTTCAGTTCCAGTTCAGGCTGACACTGTTTCTCCATCTGCTGGTGGCATTGATGCTCCTACTCTGCAAGTACCTGCTGCATTGGATCCAGCTTCTCTCTCTCAAGCTCTAACTTTCTGTTTCAGACTCTGCTGACTCAGGGATCTTGGTCTGGACAGGGTCTGGTGGCTTCTCTATTGGCTGGATGCACTCTAAGCATCCACTCCCATGCCCTTTTTGGAATCCTCTTGGTCCTCCTCCTGTCTTCATGTCTCTTTCTCCACTGACTTCTGCTGCCTCCTCCAGTAAGCTAAGTCTTCCCCTAAGTCTTCACTCGGTTCTGAAATACCATTTCCTTCCTGGCTAGCTGAAAATAGTAGGTATGTGTGGCTTTTACACTCTTTGGAGTTTAGTTGCCTTTCTCTGCATAATTCTAGTAACTCATCTTTCCCATCTTCCTCTTCCAGCTATCTTCCCAAAAAGGCTAAAAGATTTGCTCTTAAGCTTGTGATTACCACAAAACTGCAAAATGGAGGTCCTAATGCAGAATGGAAGTTACAGTACAAAGTGTTGTTCACAATTTGATACAGGCATGTCCCATTCTCTGACGCAGAATTAAGGAAGAGGGAAGTCCTTTGAAGAACTTTTGTCTTCTATCAGATCCCCTTCAAAGGAAGCCAGCTGCCCACTGAATGCAGTTAGTTCACAGTATCATGGTTCTTCTGTACTCCTCAGTAAGTGTAGACACCCAAAGCATTAGCCTTTGTGGAGGTGCAGCTGTGCTTCTGTTTCTTCTCCACTGGCATGGAGCTGAGCCTTCTTGCTAAACCAAAACCCCTGTCCCTTCTAAGGCAACACATGTTCAAAATAGCCAAATGGAACAAAATGTCCAGTGAAGCCCAGATCCCCTCTCAGCCTCTGTACTAAGGGGCCAAACAGTTTTGTCTGTTGATCCAGAGGTGTGAGGGGAAACTGGATCTATATAGCCAATATAGCTGCAAAAATGCTCTTTTCCACTTGTGACTAGATAGGATGGGGCAGGGTTCTCAGTCAGTTACAGATCTGGTCTCCATGATTGATACATTCATATCCTCCAGGCCCAAGTACTGCAACTCATTATATCAAGGAATGGAGCTAAGCAGCCTGTGAAAGCTTCATCTGATATAGAACATGTGCTTGCTTAGCAGAAGAGCTGTGATAAACAGCACCCTGTGCCCTATTGCCTGCACTGGCTCCCCACTGAGTTACAAAATCAAATTCAAGATCTGGTTTTAAATATAAATTACACCTTTCCCAGAGGAAAGATTGTCTCTTTCTTTATGTCCATGCCCCATTAAGGTTGTTATTGAGTCAATAATTAGTTAATGTGACCTGACACCTGAGAATGGAAAATTACCTATACTAGTTCAGAGTAACACTGTTTTAACAGGAATTGTGTTTTAATGCTGTTAATTGAAAGCTGAAAGAAAGCAAGCTTAACACAATTACAGTTTAGTGCTAACATGATTTGCACTCACGTGAAATTAACAGTTTCTCAGACAAGAAATGGGAGCTTGAACTGATGATGAATTATAATTACTAACTGGTGGCATTAGCATTGTTTTTAACGTTTTATTAAAATAAGAGAAAAGTTCATAGTAAGGTGAAGTCAGAACTGCAGGTGGCCTTTTTGCTATAACTACTAGCAAATCTCCAGAGAAAATAGGAATAAGTGATTGTAAACTTAGTGTGTGACACTTGCATGTATGGGTGCCGATGTGTGAAAACTTGATTATCAGTGTCAATGGAGGTGGTGTCATTGACTTCAGTGGGCCCAAAATTTCACCTGTTAAGAGAAATTGATTGGTTAAGACTATCCTAATGCCTAGGGAATCCTGCTCTGATAATGGCTAAGCACATGACAACTACTGCTGCTACAAATAGTTAGCAGAACAAATCAACCGGCAGATCTCTATCTGACAATTATGTGGAACGGTAGCTTGAGAGAAATCATTTTTGATGTTAGTATTGCCCTGTCCCCTTTTGATGTGCTTATTTTGGCCACCTGGTACATATTGGGTTAAACTAAGATTGTGTACTTTAGGGGGCAGAGGCTATCTAAGTTTACAATGTGTAAGTATAGCACTTAGCACAGTGGTGCATCAGTCTGAGGCATCTAGGCATTTCTGCAGCATTAAAAAGCAAATATAATGTGTCAGAATAATAACTAAAAATGTGGGTGTTAGACTATAGTTAGTCTGAGGCACTCGGCAGTGGCAGCCAGAAGCTCTGGGCACCTTTTTCTGCCACTGAGTTGCTGTGTTGCCTTGGGAAAATCACTTGACTCCTCTGTCTCGCCTTCCCTGTCTGCGTACTTATGGGATAAACTTTATTCATCTCAATCTTGCTGGGACATAAATACTGCTTGTAAAGTTCTTTGGGAAATTCTGGGGAAAGCTATTATAATGCAATGTATTATTAACCTTTTTAATTCCTCCAACCTGGTTGGGTTTTCACCTCTTCTTTATTTTTTTCCTATGCTGAGAGTCAAACCCAGCAGCTGCAAGCACTGACTTGGAAGCTTCACATTTAACCTCAGCATGTCGGGGCCAAGGCTTTAGGTTGCCAGGTGGCCACATGGATAGGTCCACATATGCAAGCATCCCATGTGCTCGAGCTCTTAGATGGACAACCAGGTACCTTGGGAAACATCGATATTAGTCTGCGGACCACCTTGGCATCACTTTCTAGAAATTCATGGGAGTGCAGGCTGAGAAGTTAACCCTGGTGAATCCAATTTAAATGTTACCTCTATTTATGGGTTTTCATAGGGTTCTGTAACCTGCACATGGATGACCAAATGTCAGTAATCCAGTATTCCTGGATGGGTCTAATGGTTTTCGCCATGGGATGGAGATCTTTCACCAACGTGAACTCCAGAATGCTTTACTTCGCTCCAGATTTGGTCTTCAATGAGTAAGTGTTCAACAGCAGCAATTTAGGTTTGTTTGCATTGTCCTTCTCAGAAGGGGGTGGAGGCAGCTGTCTCCCAGGCTACCTGTCAGGATGGTTCAGAGACCCTCACTGAGGCCATATGCTCTTTGGGTTTATCTCCACTCCAGTGGAGAGCCCTGTGTAAGCAGATTACAACAATTTCCACACTCAGGCAAACTCGTTTTCCTGTGTTAACCTGCATTGATCTCCTTGAAGTGATCCAGGAGCCATAGGTGAAGTGGTGCTACTAAGTGTCTGAGGAGTCTAAAAGGGACCAAGACCCACAGACAGATCTGGCTGTGTTTAATAGTGTGTCTGTTTGGCTCCCTGGGTATCACTAGCCACTCAGCACTGCTGCGCAAAGGTAGCTTGGCATAAAGTAAAGAGGTAGGGAGCAGTTGATGTCAGCCCCTGGAAATGCTGGCACCCTGGCTTTCACAGGTGCTCTCACTGTAGCTAGAAATGAATTGAGTAAACTAAGCTCTTTGATGCCTTTCAGTTGAACCTAACTACTCAATTTTATTGCTCTTTTAAAAGAGTTGCTCAGAGTGCTCTGTGCTGTGATATTTATTTTGAAACCTCCAACAGCCTTGTCTGATGATGATAGCTAAGCACCTAAATAGTTAAGATTCTTGCCTGTATGTAAACCTCTTTAATGAAAAGGAGGTCATCTAGCACAGAATTATATGAATTCTTTAATTTCTTCTGTGTCTCGAGTCCTCATACTCATAGTGCACTTGTAGAAGTGGAGGCAGAATGAACCTGTTAATTGCCTGGAGTGACAGCCTGATAATCTCCACAGAGCTCATGGCTAGAGCAAAACTTGCATAAAGCATGTCTCAAAGGGAAAGAGATGCCAATAAAAGGGAGCTTTGCATAGTTGACAGTGAGTTGATTATGGCAAATGTCTGGGATGAGTTATGTGCTCAGAGTGTACCAGGAATTAACTTGTTAGGTCATAAATCATTTGTACTCTAATGTTTCCAAGGAGGCAAAATCTAACAACTGCAGGTATTTTTATAGCCTGAAGCATCTGCAGTCTTTTCTGATCAAGTTTCCCCATTCCCGGTTAGGTTGTGAGATATGTATAAACACCACATTTTGCTCAGCTACAGCTGATCAGCTATCAGGGACCCCAGTCCTAGGATTTGCTCTCTTTTCACCAAAGTCCTCTGAAAGTTACCAAAGCCTGGAGTGTTACCTTTCTGTTGGTACAAAGAGAAAAGAAAGGAGAAGAGGAGTGGCACAGTATTGGTGCCCAGTTAGGGTGGCCTCAGTATTGGTCTCCTGACAGTTCTCCATATTCTTGCTTTGATTGCTTAGTTATTCCCTTTTCCTCCCTCAGACCTTCCTTTCCCTGGGGTCCAGGTTTCAATTTCCCTCCTTCCTTTTCTTCCTAGTGCTGTCCTTTCCCAGCTTTCCATTCCTCTTCCCTGACGTATTTTGTTCTCTCCCATATCCCTTCTCTGTCTTCTCCCAGGAGCCCATGCCTGCACCTTTCTGACGTCACCGAACAGTTATGCATGAGGGAATCAGACAGATTGGGGCTTTATTCTTGCTCTCTCTCCCCAGCGCACATCTTCATCTAGCCTCTTTATTCACCTGCTCTATCGTACACTCATCCCCAACTCACATGACACCATTAGGGCTTGTGTCAAGCTCCTAACTGCAGCTGGTCTCAGCTCATCTGGAGCATACTTTCTTCAGAGGGTACTGACCTCTCCAACTCCCTGTGCATGGCAGTGTCCTCCAGGAGCCCCTGGTTTTCTGCTTGCACCTGCTAGGGTGGAAGTTCCACGTGATGGGGCATTTCATGACTGTACTGATACAGCAAATAAATCCATTATATATATGTCTAGTGAGTATAAAAAGCAGCAGGAGATAAGCCACAGGTTTTACAAGGAAGCAGCAAGGAAATTTCTGCCTTGATGTTAATGTCTCAGTGCAGAATGATGACAAAAACATACCTGGAGTTCCTGCAGGCTACACTCCATTTTTGCCTTCAGCCACATTGTGGCAGGAAATGGAGATCCTGAAAGTCCTGAGATATCCTGCCTCCCCTCCTGTCACTACAGGGCTGAAGTGTGAGCAGAAATTGTAATCCTTCCTCCAGGAGCTCACACAAGAATCCACACCCGCTTTGCTTTGCTAAATATGGTAAAACATTGCAGTCACTTTTGGAGAAAGCAGAGGGTCAAGTGAACCTTTAAAATCCCATGTGGTCATCCCTTCCCATTACACTTGGTATTTTGGAAAATGTTCCTTTCCCGTATTCAGATTTTGCTGCCATGAGATTCTGCTAGAGATAAGTTAGATGGAATGCACTAGGCTAGACTGAGGGTTGCTGGGTTTTTTAATGAAGATACTGAGCAGCATGCATATATCATGCTGGCGGTGCTTTCATCTTCTTGCCAACATGTTGTGTGCCTTTTTACCAGGTACCGAATGCACAAATCCAGAATGTACAGCCAGTGTGTCAGGATGCGGCATCTCTCTCAGGAGTTTGGGTGGCTTCAGATCACACCCCAGGAGTTTCTCTGTATGAAAGCCCTACTCCTCTTCAGTATTAGTAAGTATTGGTGCCCTTCTCTCCAAAACTTATTGTTGGATATGTCCTGAATGTTTCCCTTTCTGTTTTCAAACTATCCCATCATGACCATGACAGTAAGGCCAGAAAAGGCAATCCAGTCCTGTCCTCTGCTGTTGCAGGCTAGGGAACTCCCTATGTAGTTCCCTAGCCTGTTGCAAAGTCCTGCCCTGGTTGTTGACTTAGCTGTGCCCCTGGAGAGATTGTCCATCTACTCAACTGTTCTTGCTAAATGGGCCTCCAAGTAGGAACCAGGTGAGCAGGAAAATCTGACCACAGCCTGTGCTGGGTCTGCCATGCTGCCTCTATTTTGTAACAATCAGAACATGAAACAAAAGCTATGTTGTATGCGGAAGCTCGCCCTTCCTCCAGCAAAGCTGAGGGAAAAATACAATCCCTGTTGTTGTTGTACCTGGGTTAGCTATTTTCTCAGTTGTTTCTTTTTTCGTTGGTTCTCCACATTTATTACTGCTTCTTTGCCTTATCCCCATTACAGTTCCAGTGGATGGACTGAAGAATCAGAAGCTGTTTGATGAACTTCGAATGAACTACATAAAGGAACTAGATCGTATCATTGCTTACAAGAGAAAGAATCCCACATCCTGTTCTCGGCGCTTCTACCAGCTCACCAAGGTCCTGGACTCCGTGCATCCTGTAAGAGAGGGCAGCAGCGTGGACGGATGCATGGAAGCATTAATAGTCTTTTTCTGGGGTGTCATAGAGTCTATTGGGGCTCTGGGATTTGGGGCTAGAGGAAATGTGGCAGATGCAAACAAGTTGTAAGGGACATAGGGAAATGGCCTCCTAACTGGTGGCCATGGAAATGACTGTGGTAATATAGAGAGTGTTCTAACCCAAGATCTTGTTTCATGACATACTTCCTTTATTGGCAGTTTTGTAGTGCCCATCACTGTAGCCAAGGACTCAAAGACAGACAAATTATTGAGATAGATCTTGGTTTTGTCCTAATGTCACTATTAATAAAAGAACAAGAGGGAAAAACTTGCAGGAAACTGCATGCTTTACAGCATTGGTACCAGCAAGCTGGTTGATCACCTGAGATAACTAATCCAGATGAGTAGTTAGCTAGGCTCATTGTAGGGAAGCACAAGAGAGTACTGTAGATAAAGTAAAATACAGGTATGCATTTTAAGTAGATTTTGACAGTTTTCTGGTGCTTCCACTATAGAAACAGAATACATCCAAGTTTTTCAAACTTTCCCTCATGTTACCTACTGTTTAACTCTCCATCACATGCTTAAAGAGGTTTTCTGAGAGGGATTCGAAGAGTACATTATGTTTACAGAACAGGAAAAAGATGACAGCTCTACTCAAGGTGTCAAAGCCAACCGCCATACTAACCATGTAATTCCTCTTTGAAAAGTGTCAGCAGCAGCACCATGGAGCTCACTCCATCAGCGATGGTACATCAGTGGGTCTTCTCTGACTGGTACCTCATCACTGATGATAATAATTCTACTGTTGGGACTTAGTTAACAATATGAACTCAGGCTAATATAGGTGACATCTTCTGAGGGCTATGTTAGTTTCTACAGGGAAAAGATAAGATAAAGAAATGATAGTCAGGTTAGCCCTACTGAATACACCTCTGTGAATAAGAAAGCACCATTTTTATGTAGTTATTTTCCAAACAGAAACACCTCTTAGGCCTTTGTGTGCTAGTAATAAGAGCAGCGCATTGCTCTGTCTGCTACACATGCAGCCCACGGCCTGTTAGCTCACTTTTTTTCATTCTCAGGACAAACAACAGCCATTTGGCAGCTATTCCCAGACACCAAAAAGTTTGTAGTGTCCAGAGAGCAGAAACCCTGGCTCACAGTAGGTGAGCCAGGACTTCACTGTACTCCCTGCTAATGGTTCCTCTGTATTCTGCATAGTGTTAGCAATGTGAAAAGAGCCACTTGATGGAGAAGATACGTCATTCATTTGACCTTCCTTCCTTCTCCTTTCTCTTTCCTAGATTGCCAAGGAGCTGCATCAGTTTACATTTGACCTCTTAATTAAAGCGCACATGGTCAGCGTGGACTACCCTGAAATGATGGCTGAAATCATCTCTGTCCAGGTTCCCAAGATCCTGTCTGGAAAAGTCAAACCCATCTACTTCCATGCACAGTGATATTCTGGAGAGAGTCGCATTGCGCTGCCATCCCCCTTATCAGCCATCTCCTGCCTGTTATCTCTGCACTACTGTACTGCAGTGCCTTGGGGAATCCCCTCTAAAGATACTCTTGGTGAGAAGATGTACAGTATCAAACTACTACCTGCTGGGATTCCTTTCATTTCTATTTTTTCCTGTGGTACCTCTGAACTGAACTACCTGCCATGGCTTCCGCCTGTGTTTGGATGGCTCCGTCTCTTTAAATGTTGTGACATATCATGACTATGTGACAGTGTCCAGTGGCACTTGTTTACAGTCTTTTGCTTGTGTATTTTCCATGGTGACGTACCTGTGACCCAGTGCCATGTCAGTTTGGGAGAAATGCCACCCTTCATTCTCACCTTAAAACAAAACAAAGCAAGAAGCAAATGAAGCCTGCGCATTTATGGGAAGGGGTTATTTTCCTTATTCCCCAGGGTGTTTTCCTGTTTTTTATTTGCATTATGTCTCTAAGAGGCAGGTGAATTCAAATACAGTAGTAGTGAAGCAGAGAGGTGTCAAGGGGGAAAGAGCACAACTTGCTGAGGTTATCATATCTTTCTAAATCAGACAGCTGCTAGCTTATGAATATTCAGTCCTGGTGCTGAAAATATGTATCTTGTCCTCTGCTCTGGCCATGTGTTCAGGCCTCAAACCCATGGTCTTTTCACAGCTGAGAGAAGCATTAAGTACTCACTTCTGTAAGAAATGCCCAATCTGGAGTGGAGGGCTGGAAAGGATTGTGATCTTTGGAAACCTTCAAAGATTGCAAAGGGCTGTTTTCATCCAGGACATTTTTTTCTGAGGACTGGATCAAAGCCTGTCCAGTGAATGTCCAGAAGTCTACCAATGTCACATTCCAGTTTTGAATTTTTTTTCCCCTTTCCTCAGTTGTATCCAACTTTCATGAGTGCCTGAAGTCTCTTCACACCCCTGCCTCTGGCATGCTCCCTTTCAGTGTCTGGCATCTCTACTTGTCTCTGGTTTCTCTCTAGGGTTATCTGAAAGTCTAGATTTTCCTGGTTATGCTTTGCATTTGCCTTTTTTCTGAACTCTATCGCAGACTGTTTAGGATACCTACAGGCCGACATCACAGAAGCAGAGCAACCAGAGCTCTGGTGCTTTGGACTGTGTGAGGACAAGTGATCCTTTGTTGTCAATCCTGCTCCTTTTGGAAACAATTGCAGCTGGCATGAAATTGCCATGAGATTTCCATATTGTTTCAGGGAAATTGTAAACAAATCACATAAGAAACTCCTACTCCTCCTTCGAGGTGCACGCAACTCCCCTGATGAGGAAGGATCATCTTCACATAAGGGAGATCAAGGGAGTACACCCTGACCAATGACGCAGTAAAGACAGCACTATCAAAACAAAACTCACAGACCATGCCTGAATTGATGACAGTGTTTCATCCTGCAGCAGAACCAGTGGAGGTAGAGAAACCTGCCTGGTGGACATGAATAATTATTCAAAACAAAACAAATCAGACACTCAGTTTTTTCGATATTAGCAACTTTCTGTAGTCGGGACTGTTTCAGAAAGGGACATCTGTTTTTTTCAAAGCAGGGTAACACTGACTTGAATCCTCCCACTGGAAAGCTCTGCTTGGTATTCCTGAGAAATTATTATTCTGCCCATGAATGTTATTCAGATTTATTGTTTAAGGCTGTACTGAACATGTAGGAATATAATTCTTCACCTTAATGTCTCACAGGTCCCTTCAGAGTCCTACTTCCCCTTGTCTCATGAGTCCAACAGAAGAGCAAAAGTCCTGCTGTCGGCCCCGGTTAGTGATTTAAGCCTGTCCTATGGACTTCTGCTGGCATAGGTGTGTGGGTGACTGGTGTGAGGAGATGCTACCCTGATTGACATGGCTGTGCCTGAAAAAATCCCCAGTGTAGATGCACTTATACTTGCAAACCTGCACCTTTCTTCATTGTGTTTTGCTCAGGGAGGTTATTTTACTACAACTGTTCAAAGCACAGGTTTGTTTGTATGGTCCTGTCCACATTAGAAGCACTTCGTCAGTCCGGTATACGGGTATTCCTGTACCAAAAAAGCAAACCAAACAAAGACAGAGTCTTAGCTTTTGGAGGAGATGGATTTCCTGTGTGATAACAGCTGATAACATTTGCCAAATAACCATTTAAACATGAGGAGAAGAAGGAGGTTCAGGCTTGTGGAACCCCATCAGCTCAACTCTCCCCCAGATCCATGGGTCTATTCCAACTGAATCCTGCCACACAAAAGCAATCACCACTATTCTTCTGCTGTTTGGGCCTTTCATGGATTGTGACCAATGACTGTTCTTCTAGTCAGGCAGCCCCACATGCTTCCTTGTGATGTGTTTTGGTTCTGAACAGAGTAAATGTCAGCACAGATGGTGGCTGCAGAGTTTCCCTGATTCTCTCCAGTTGTCCTGTGCAGAGTTCTCTGAACAAAAAGTATGTTTACAGTGTTTTTGGATGAGTTAACTCTCTTGTGATAGATTAATTTGATTGCATCCTTCCCCCTTTGCCCCTTCTGGAGAGTAATGAAACAGCAATGAGTTCTTTTTTAATGCTAACGAATATACTCTGCTATCATAAATATTTGTTTTCATTGTTTTGGAGGGTTACAAAAAACTGAAATTTCATTGGAATCTACTGATTTTGAGAATGCACCAGTGAAAAGATCCACGTGTACTAGCTCCTGCTTTTCAGCACTGTGGATCTTCTGTTGAGTTACAAAAAAAAAATACATTGAAGGTCTGAGTTGGCACAGCATTCTCATTCTGCTGTAAAACAGGAGGATGTTGAGAGTGGTGATAAACTCTTCCTTTAAAGAAAGCTTCTATTTTGCACTGCTCAAGTCAATCCGAAGGTTTCGCTTTTGGTGCCACTCTGGAGTGTCAGTGGAGTGCTGGCAAATGTCTAAAGTCAAACTGAACATTTACAGACAAACAGCCTTGTTTGGTGTTGGAACCACGTAGATAATGGGGGGAGGGATGGAGGAGGATACTGTCCATGTGTCATCTGCAAAACATTTGCAATGTGTGGGTATAGTGCTTGTCAAACTATTTATCCTTTAGGAAAGAAATGTGCTCATTTGAATATTGCCTGTCCAATATTGTACATACATAGCTAGATTGCCTTTACTGAGGTCTACTAGTAGCTCCTGTGCCATTCAAGCTGTATTAGGGGATGGTGGGGGGTGTTAAGTTTTATTCTGTAGCTTTTAAATGTTCGGTAGGTTTCTGCCATTTTTTCCCCCTAAATTGGAAAGTTGGATTTGTTATGACATTACTGAAAGTATGACTGAGGGATCCAGTCAAAGAACGAGGATTGGCAACATGCTGATTTGGGTACCTTCAGGTTACAAATCCAATACTGTCTTCAGCCACTGATACTATTCCCCTTTCTGTATCATCTCTGTCCAAACTCTATCTAAAACTGTCTCCTCAGGCCCTTTTCAGTTCCTGAAAGCAAACTGAAGAAGTGCAAAAGTGCTTCTGTTGCTATGTCCCTTTGTAGTTCAGTTCTTATTTTGTATGCAAAGTAAGTTTGCATTCTTATTTCTACTGTTGCTTAAATAAAGCAAATGGAATCTCATAATCCATACACTAATGTGGAAGTTTTCCCTAAGCATACTAAGCAGATCATTTAGCTTTTTGCTTTATCGCACTCCAGAAGCAGAGGAAGCCATTTGCTTACTTGGCATTGTTTTCCATAACACGGAAGCAAATATCTTGCAAGCCCCTCTCTAGTTTCACTGAGCTGAATTCTCCTTTCAGATCCAAGGATGCAGTTTCTTTTGGAGTTACATGCATGACCAGGCTGCACTAACTGCATATGGTCTTAACTTGGCAAGTACCCCAAAACTATACCACCCTGCCAAAGACCAGGGGAGTGTCATTTAGGATAACTGCTACAGAATCTGCAGTGTGTATTTTGAGCCAAATCCTGAGGATCTAACTCCCTTTTTGCTGAGTCCTTACACATAAAGCTCCCATTAACTACCTCTGAGTTTGCCTCAGTAGGGACTTGCCAAAAACCCAAGAAGCTGATTCACTTCTTACTTACACAGTTGTAAATCAAGAATGTCAGGAATCCAAGAAATGTTGAAAGCCAATAGGATTATGACGGTGTAAGTAAGTAGTGAATCAGGCTCCACAGAAATGCCTCGGAATTTGTTTCCTCAAGTACATGCTGAATAATTATCGCATACTGGTAAATTCCCCGTTACATACATGTATAAGTGCATGCCCAGCGACTGTCCTGCTGCTCTGGTAATAGGTTGTAAGGAGGTTGCCATGTTCTGTATGTGAATGAATATGGCTTATCTGGTATTTAAACCTTGTGAGGTAATGTGCTACTTGCCTCCTAGTTCTACAAGCATGAGCCTGAACCATAGCAAGAGATCCTAACAGTGTCATCTCAAAAGGACTAAATGTCCATGCACTGGGCACCTGATGACAGACAGCAAGAGGTCTCCCCATTTTTACATACAATACATCTGTGACTGTCGATGTTGATCTCTCCCTTAAAGTGTAAAAGAGAAAAACAAAGAGAGAAAGAGGGTCTTCTTATGTTACCCAAGATTTCTAGTCTGAGTCCTTACTTAAAGGACATTTTTCGTTCTCAGTGAGAGAGAAAGAGAGAGAGATTCTTCAGTAGATGGGCCCTTAAGTCTGTGGATGTGTTAATAGACGCATTTATTTAATCTTTTTTTCTGGTAGGTACTGACCAGGATTTAAAAGGTCCATTTTTACATAGTGTACACGAGCAGATGCTGGCATCCTTTATTCTGGTGTCACTTAGTTTGTCCAGGTCCCTTAAACCCTCCTGCTAGATGGGGATATTTACACTAGAAGAACACTAGAGAAAACCCCAACTTTTGCACCTTTTGATAGCATAGAGATTTAATTCAATGCATAGTGTTGAAATGCATAGTAAGCTGGTATTTATTTTGTAGCCATGTTTCAAAATGGATTTACAGAGTAAGAGAAATGATGTTTCCTGTATTAGCTATTCCTCTAAACCCTGCCTGCACCTTCAGATTTGTGTCCAGTTAGCAACTAGTATTGTGCCTGGAAAGTACATTGGCAATTGCACTCTGAGTACATGTGAAAACTGGACTGCCTCCACTGGCCGAGCGCCTTCACCCAGGATGCAGCAACCTCAGCACTCTGCAGCCCTGAGAAGGTTTTGTGGGCATGATGTATTCAAACACTCTAAGTTAAGAGGGCAACTAAGTAATTTGGAGATAAAGTGTGGAAAGCTATAATCCATAACTGACTCATGTGGAGGCTAGTGCTAAAAACTCTTCGGATGCTAATTTACTTTTCCAGTTACAAAGGAGTCCTCATTTTGTTGTACTTACTTTGGAGAGAGGATTAATTTTAGGAAGACAGAATCCAACCCCTCCACATAACACCCATCCATTAAGCCAAGTTTGACCTGTACTCTAATCACTACCTTGGAAGTGAAGATGGGCCTCCTGGGTCCTTCCCCTTTTGAAAGGGCAAGGAAGCCTACTCTTAGATGGCAAAGGTGCATGCCTGTCCTTCACATAAAACCACAGCAAATGTATACTGAGCTGCTCTCCCTGGTATTTTGCATTATACTGTTGGGTCTTAGAGATGTTGTATAAAGACTGTGGCAAATTGACAGCTGTTTTTATTTCTTAATATTTCTTTAATTAAAGGTTCTCTATATAGATATATTTTTCTTTGTAATAATCCTAAAAGTTTATTGCTGGTGCCTCTGTGCTGGTGTGGTCTCCCAATTCACAGCTCTGTGGAAGCAAGAAAGAATAGTCACTGCAATCTTTTGTCTCACTGTATGTGAGTAGGCTTATGAGGCAAACACATCTCTCATTCAGCGGGGCTACCAAAAGGAAGTGAGTGGCAGCCCACAACTTGGTTGAGCCAACTTTCAAATACAACATTGCCAATTTCTCACTAGATTTTCACCCATGTCATGCTATTCGAAGGAGCTAGCAAGGCCTTGGGCTTCTGAGGCATGGCATCAAAGTCCTTTGTTCAGTCTCTGTCTGCCCATGCTATTACTTTGCTAAGCTTTTCTCATTCTCTGCCAGGTTTACAGTTAAATGTACTGATACTATTTGCTACACATACAGAATTGCAATTTCTTTCAGACAGGGTGTGCATACACAAGACACTTCCAGCGCAGTAGACTAATTCTACTGTGCATTAGTGCGGTGGGCAAAACCCATGGTAATGCGTTAATGCACAGTAGCATCAATTACCATGCATTCAGGTAGTACCTGTAACTATAGGTACTAAACTTAATGCATTTTAATTATGTCGCTTTAATGAACGTGTAGATGCGCCTACAGCCCTTTTTAAATAGTGGTATTCTGAAGCCTTTATATTTATAGGTGTGAAGTGCTAAATTTCACTCCTTCAGAAGTCAATGGATTTTTTTTTCTATTGACTTTACTGGAACGAGGATCTAGCCCTAAATACATTTAAGAAAGAAAATAGACACCTATTATGTTAAGCATCACTGAGATTTTGCCTGAAGATGACTTCTTGCCGTTTCAGTCCACAAAGATGTGGCTGAATATGCCTACCCAAAAGATCAGTGACTGAGAATTTACCATGCTAGGTTGAACAGCATTTATTTTTGCTTGTAATTAGCTAAAAAAGAAACATTTTTGATACCAAGGATAAACAACCAACCAACCATAATACAGTATAGTTCACGTTTGAGTTCAGTGTGGGCGCTCAGCCAATGCTGTGCAGCAGGACAAACTTCACACTGTGGCGTTCAGCTCTCTTTTTGTAATCTTGAAATCTGTTGTTGTTCTAAATACAATAAAAGGCAGAACCTTGTTTGTTGGAACACTGGTGTGTCTGTGCATGTGTGTTTGGCTTTCATTTATTTCAGATGCACATTTGGAAAATGTCATTTGGTGAAAAATATTTGTATTGGGCTTGCCAAAAAAAAAAAAAAATTGGCCATTTTTCCAGAGTTGAGGCTTTATGCTTGGGTTATTCTTAAAATCTGACTATGGAAAATGAATAGTCCCTTATCTTGACTGTTAATTCATTTATACATGAAATGACTAATCTTTTCATACTAGTCTCTTTGGTGCTTTTAAATTGAATTTTATTAAATTAATGTATTTAATTAAATTAGGTGCTAAAAGAATGCCCAGTATCCTCTTCCTGTTTTAGCATCTCATGTGGTTGTCACTGTTGTTAAATGACCAGTAACTGGAAACCATTCTGCTCAGACTTCATTATAAAATTGACCTGTGATCTCCAAATAATACAAGACATTGTGTTTTTATCAGCCCAGTCCTTAATTAAAAGCAGAAAAGTGGAGTCTTGTATTTGTCCAGGCTTAAATTAGACAAACCAAAGTGCTTAAAAGCAAAATGACCTGTTTGTACACATTTAACTGGGAATGGCTAGCATGTAATTCCATAGCAATAACCACATATACCAATACCCTGAAAACTGAAAGGAAAATGTTCTTGTGGCTGAACAATACAAAAAACAGCTTGGAGAAGTGGGATAGTATTGTGCTAAGTCAGCTGTGGAGGATGTGGTTCTGAACCTTTATCCGAGTTGCAGCTAAAAAGGAACGCATTAGTAGTTTCAGACTTAATCTGTGCTTGACATTTGTTCATGCCAGTCACCAAGCTAAGCTGTCAGTACAGAGAAAAGCCCAAGGCAGGAGTTGCAGAACCTCAGGGTGTTGGCAAAACTGCGGGGAATGTTGATCTGAAAACCAGTGGCAACAGCAATAGGAGTAGAGGTGAACTGGCAGAGTGCAGAGGGAGTCTAGGACTGGAAGAGCAGTAGGGCAGGTCATGGCAGGGCTGCAAGTCAGTAGGCTGAGTCATCTGAGAGCCTCCAAGTTGGATACTATGACAAGCCAAGTGCAGGGCAAGTCACTTAGGGAGCTACGGTGGAGAAGCTTGAGTGGTAGGAGTGCAGCTCAGAAAGCACATTGGACAAGCTGTAGAGCCAAATCATGCCCATGCTTGTCCCTGTAACTCCAAACTGAAAGCCTGAAATCTTTCATTTTCCTACTGAAATTAATGCCCTCAGCCCCCACTAAGGGAACCTTCTTAACAATTAGCAATATATTCCTGAAATTTGACCTTGTACCAGATGTGAGTGATGCTAAAAATGAGGCATACACCCAATGGAAGGGAGGGGCCATCACCAGGGAGGGCTATACCTCTGTTGCTTGGGACTGCAGGGGGGCAGTCAGGAAGGCCAAGGTGGAGATGGGACTGGGACTAGCTTCCTGGATCGAGGACAACAAGAAGTCCTTTTTTAAATACATAGGGGGCAAAAAGAAGGTACCGGGTAATGTGGGGCCTCTGCAGGACTTGCTAGGAAATCTGGTCATCGCACCAGACAGCAGAGCTAACCTATTTAACAATTTCTTTGCCTCCATTTTTCTGAGTAGGGACCTGGTCATCCCTCCCCATTGGGACCCCCGTAGGCCCCGTGGGAGGCGCACCCAGGCCTAGGGTCAGAGAGGACCTAATCAGAGAACCTCTGGACATATTTAAAACAGCAGGTCCTGACGATCTCCACCCCAGAGTGCTGAGGGAACTAGCAGAGGTTATTGCAGGACATCTGGCACGGCTTTAAGAGCACTCATGGTGCTCTGGTGATGTGCTGGAGGGCTGGAAGAGGGCCAATGTGGTTCCCATTTTCAAAAAAGGGAGGAAGGAGGACCCAGGAAACTATAGGCCCATTAGTCTTACCTCGGTCCTGGGTAAGCTTTTTGAGAAAATTATCTTGGCACATGTCCACAAGGGGCCAGCAGGGGAGACTAT